TGCTCACTTTAAACTGTAAGTCTATACTCTATCTAATGATTTTATTTACTTTATTCAACCATTCTCATGGTATTATATAGCAGAAGAAATCTATTTTGGTCAAGTAAAATGTATAAGATACATCACATTTTTGGTATTATCAGTTTCAGTTTTTTTCTTTCTTACACTTTTTCTGAAAAAAAAAATACAAAACAAATCAGTATTATTGTTAAACAAACAAAACAAAAAAGAAATTAAGATCATGAAGAAACTAGAATCTCTATGTGATGTCATAACTGACAAGAAGTATTATTTGGACAGAAGCGGTCTTTAAAAGATCGACGCACATATTCTTCTTCAACGTGATTTCCACTTTATACGTATAACATTTCATTTACTTTGCGCACAAAAAAAAAACGTATAACATTTCCTTTATTGTTATTAAGAAAATTTACGTAATTTCATATATCTTTTTTTAAAAAATTTTTTTAATCAGTCAGATATAGTACGATAATAAGTTACAAGTTGCTGCAACACTTTTTTCTTCAAAGAAGATTCAACATCAACTTCAAATTAATTATAAATTTTATAGCTGTTATATAGAAAATAAGGTAGTCTAAAAATAATGTCTTAATGAATAAAATTTTCATATTAATAGTCTGACATGAAATAAGCCACTTGAACACCATCATCTAAATATATTAAGAGATTCTTATAATAATTGTGTTTAATATGAGAATTGAGATTAATTTAATGTTCATACGTAATACTTAATTAAACAAACAAACATTAAAAGTTGAGCCTCCGTGGTTCATATATGCAGAAGGAATATCTCGGATCCATTTTTGGTATCAACGAATAAAGTGTTAATTAATATTTAACCACATCCACAAGAGCGTTTAACGTGGAATTAAGTATAACCACGCAAAGATAATATAGCTGTTGAATCTTTTTCTTTTTAAATTACCGACCATCGAAACGTACTTCAAGAATTCGAACAAAAAATAATGCAAGGGACTTATCAAATAACTCAAAAATTATTATTTAATTTTTCTTTACAAAAGCATTTCAAAAACTTTAGAGACCCTTTGGTCGAGCGTTATCAAAATTAAAAAATCAAACCAAGAGCAGTGTTTTGATGGTCGATAACTCGTCTTATTGGTCGAGACAAGTGATCGAGTTAGTATTAACACAGTCCACCCGTTGTTTCGAGCTCCAGTTTTTGATACGGTTTCCGTTGAGAGCCGATCATGTATAGCCAACCATGCGAAGAAATGATACTTGGGAATTGGGATTTGAATAAGAGAACATATGTCTTTGGACCAATCAAACCGCATATATGTTTCTCTAATTATGTTCTAAGTGTTATATGTTGAGAATGTTGTAATGAATTTGTTTTCTAAAATTTATGATGTTTAAAGTTTTATAACTATGTAATATACATCAAAGTTTTCAAACTGTATCATTTTTAATACATTTTTATTTTATAGTTTATAATTATCATTAAATAACGATATACATGTGACAATTTTTGTTTTATACAATTTTAACTTAATCAAGCTATATGTCGAATATTGATGGTGTTAAAATAATAAAATGAGAATTTAACCGGTATCGATTAATGATATTTTAAATTTTTTATTAAATTTAATTAAAACTCGTCCCGTCATATAACCCCGTCCTGCAATATAATTCGTCCCGTGTTATTTTAAATTTACAAACTTTAAAATTTGTATCCTTGTTAAGTTAAGCTTTCCGTTCATTCAAATTTGGATTCATTTTGATCTTATTTATAATATGACTCTGAATTCTTATCTAAATATTTTCATTAATTTAGTAATTTATGTCTATTTTTTTAATTTTGAATCACAATGCGGAAATTTTTTTTTTTAGATTTTTTAAAACTTTGTATATTATATGATAAATTTAATTTAAAACAATTAAAAAAAAAAAAATACCATGGGAGCTGCAAATCTCCGTCGAAGTTTATCTCCATTACATACCGAGTTCGAGGCTCTTCTCTGGGCGATGAAGTGTATGATTGGCGCAGATAATCAAGAGGTAGAGTTCCTTACAGACTGTTCTGATCTGGTGAAGATGGTGTCTTCTCCAACCGAATGGCCGGCGTTTTTAGTGTACTTGGAGGAATTCCAGAGCGACAAGGAAGAATTCTCATCCTTCTCTTTATCTTTAATTTCTCGCAATGCTATTGTAAAAGCGGATCATCTGGCACGAAAAATTCGTAAAGAACCGCTTCATATCACATTTGTAAACAACATTCCCCAGAAATGGCTCTTTTGAGCTCTAATTAATTTCGGATGACAAAAAAAAAAAAAAAAAAAAAAAAATCAAACAAAAATAATAAAGAGAATCTTAATTTTTAATCTTAACTAAATCTTCTAAATATTTATATTATTAACTATGAAATATTATATAGATATCTAAGGCAACATCTGTTTGAAAAATTTCCGGTGTAAAATCGATCCGACCCACAAGTGGTATTGTTTGTAAATAATTTTAAAGGCTAATGTTTTTTCTAAAAATGTATTTCAAAAATGTATACATAGATACTCAAACATTTATAAAGAAAATGATCTCAAATGGCTACTACATAATATAAATTTTCTTATTAATCCATTTTTTTGTAAATGTGAGGGATCACATCTAGATATATGTAACCCTTATTATATAAAAACTAAACTTAAACCATTGTTATTAAAAAGTTATGTGTAGAATTAAGTAGAATAAATTATTAAAAAAATACAGAAGCAATCCACTAACAAAAACTCATATATATTCTTTAATCGTTTTTATTAAATGTAAACACATGAATATTATTTTCGAAAAACTAAACAAATCTTTGTTTTATATTAATGACCAAAACAATAAGAAATAAATTACTCTTTAATCTAATAATAATAACAATCTCAATAAATGCATTTTGCACTTATGAATGGTTGTGTTTTTTAGTCGCAATTGTTCGTTAATTTTTTTAAAACTAAAATACATATTTTAAGGTTATGTTTTTTTTTAGAAAATTGTAATATGAATGTCTTCTACGTTTGCATTTTTTTCTTGTAACTCTTCATCAACAGTTACAACCGCTTATTCGAATCATTACAATATTTAGTTTATTTCACGAACAAGGACAACCTTTGGTTTATTTTAAAAATCGCTATACCATTTAATTATCTAACGTCGCGTCTCTCGGTGTAACTTTTCATAAATTATTATTTTTAATTTTTAATTTTTAATTTTTTATTACCAAATGTATTTTAAATGAGATTGTAACTGTTTAATTGAAGTGTTGCAACATTTGGTTTATTTGATAAATCATTGCAACTTTTGGTTTTGTTTTACTAACTTAACGAACCGTTGAAACTTTTGGTATATCGCAACATTTCGTTTATTTTTTTTAAACTAAAAATATATTTTACGTTATGTTTTTTGAGAAAGTTGCAATCTGAGTATATATTTTTTACGGTTGCATCTTTTTATTGGGACTCTTCATAAATTACAACCGTTTAGTTGAACCATTGCAATATTTAATTTGTTTCACAAACAGTTGTAACTTTAAGTTTATTTTATAAATCGTTATACCGTCTGTATAATTTTTCATAAATTATTATTTTTAATTTTAAATTTTAGTTACTAAAATATATTTAAATGAGATTGTAACCGTTGAATTGAATTGTTGCAACAATTAGTTTATTTGAGGAATCATTGCAATTTTTGGTTTTGTTTTACGAACCATTGTAATCTTTAGTATATTTGACGAACCATTGCAACATTTGGTATATTTGACGAACCGTTTTAATTTTTGGTATATTTAATATCTACTATCGAGTCTCTCTGTTAAAGTTCGTCATATATTTTAAAAATATTTAATTATTAAAATATATTTAAATGTTTTTTGTTACCGTTTAGTTTAAAATAATACTATTAGGCTTATTTGATGAACCAATGGACATTTTGGTTTATTTATCAAACCGTTGTAACCTTTGGTTTATTTGATGCTTTTTACACTTAGAAAATAATTTTTAGTTACAAATTAATGTTTTTTCTAATACTAATATACTTAATAAATGCTTGTGAGAGTTTCCTTTATCATAATTTTTGTAAAATATTTAATGATTTATTATTAAAAAATTCATAATTGTTACAATTCATTATAACTTTTCGTTTGATATTTTTTAAACTATTTTTAAAATATTTTTCTGCGCGATATTGCGAAGGTCATACGTCCTAGTAATAGTAAAAAAAAACTAGAAAATAATAATTCCTACTTTTGCATTTCTTTGTTAAAACTTAAAACATCCCTATCTAAATTGATTTAATATAAGAGGAAAAACGTAAATACTGTATTATTAAAAAAAATGTAAGAAAATTATGCAATATACGTATATACATCGTATATACATAAAATACGAAGGAGTAAAAGAGTCTTATTTGGTATAGAGTTAAGGGTTCAAACTTCAAAGTAATAATTAAAACAATGATGTGTATATATTGATATGTAGTAGTATATGTAAAGGTCTCACGTCTCTATAATAAAGTATGACTCGTCACGTGACCTCCTCTTCTTGGCAGAGGCAGAGATAGGATGAGACAGAAAGAAACCAACAAAACCAAACCCCAAAACCCAAGAAAAAGAGAAAACTCTCTCTTTCTTCTCTCTCTCTATGTCTATTTAAGAGACTTCACTGTCTCTCTCAGTCTTTTAACGCAAAACAACTTTTGTGGAAGAGAGAAAGCGAGATAACACACACACACAGAGATACACATCTTCAATAGTTAAGAGTTTTCTATATACAGAAGCAAAGAAAAGAGAGAGAGAGAGACAGATACAAAAGTTAATATCTCTCCTTCTCTCTCACTTGGTGAGACTTCTCTTTTTCCTCTGGGTTTTGTGGTGGGGGTTGTCTCTATAAAAACCTATATATATTTATATATATAAATATTAATAAATAAGAAGGAATTATCAGGTTTTATATAAAATAGCAAAAGAAATGCAACAGCACCTGATGCAGATGCAGCCCATGATGGCTGGTTACTACCCCAGCAATGTTACCTCTGATCATATCCAACAGGTTCTCTTCTTCTTCTTCTTCTTCTTCTTCTTCTTCTATTATATTATCTCTTTCTTTTTCTTTATTATATGTTTCTTTGAATCATAAAGAAAAGGTGATGAAATCTCTCTTGCAAGTACCTTATAACTTTTTCTTTTTATATATATTAAAGAAAAAGTATGTGAAACCTTTTCTTTTGTTCTCATAACATATATGAATGATGGTTTTTTTTCATGGGTGTAATTAAAATGATATTTGGTTCTTTTATTGTAGTTTCCATGTCTTTTTTGTTCATAGATAAATTTGTTTTAGTTTTATAACTTTTAATACATCTGTGTTTATGTTTGATAAATTCGGTTGGTAGAGATGCTTTGGTCTTTTGTTTTGTGCATCAGCTTCAATTTCAAGTTAAGAAAGATTCCTTCTTTTAATGAAAATGAATTTTAAGGGTCCAGTTGTTTTATGTTCTTGAAACATGTAATGAAAAATAATGTGTTCAAAACAGACAAATCTTGGGAACTGAAGATTTGTTTCACATATCTCGTTTTTTCTTCTTGTCTTGGTTTTCGGGTTCTGGAAGTTTCATTGATGGCAAAAACCACAAAGCCATTTATGTGAATATGGTGGTGGTCCTGTTTAGATTTGTTATCATTAGTAGATCTATGTATATTTTCCAGTCCAAGTGTTTCTTTTATTGCTTACATGACCAGATATACTTTGTGGTCCGAAACAACATCTGGTCCTTATCTCTGTTTTATTTTTTGTGTGGTCCTCAAAATCTTTTCGAAGAAAATCTTTCATTACACTTTTGTGATGTTTCAACATTATTGTCTTTTGAGATAAGTCGGAATCTAAGTTACTGGGGTCTCCTTTTGAGTTTTTCTATGTCTTTATTACAACAAAAACAAAAGAGTATGCAAAATTTTTGTTTGTAGCATTACTGATTAATGAAAATGTTGATTGTAGTACTTGGACGAGAACAAATCGTTGATTCTGAAGATTGTTGAGTCTCAAAACTCGGGAAAGCTTAGCGAGTGCGCCGAGTAAGACACAACATATCTCCTTGATGATTTAACTTGTGTTCTGTTGAATAATAATAAGAAATGATCAAATGGTTAATTTGATGGTTACAGGAATCAGGCAAGGCTTCAACGCAACCTAATGTACTTAGCTGCAATAGCAGATTCTCAGCCTCAGCCTCCAAGTGTGCATAGCCAGGTAAACAGTTAAAAGCAGTAAAGTTTTTGAAATTTTGTTGTATAAAATTGAGAAACTCATTGGTATTGTTTGGTTATTAGTATGGATCTGCTGGTGGTGGGATGATTCAAGGAGAAGGAGGGTCACACTATTTGCAGCAGCAACAAGCGACTCAGCAGCAACAGATGACTCAACAGTCTCTAATGGCGGCTCGATCCTCAATGTTGTATGCTCAGCAGCAGCAGCAGCAGCAACAGCCTTACGCAACGCTTCAGCATCAGCAATTGCACCATAGCCAGCTTGGAATGAGCTCGAGCAGCGGAGGAGGAGGAAGCAGTGGTCTCCATATCCTTCAAGGAGAGGCTGGTGGGTTTCATGATTTTGGCCGTGGGAAGCCGGAAATGGGAAGTGGTGGTGGCGGTGAAGGCAGAGGAGGAAGTTCAGGGGATGGTGGAGAAACCCTTTACTTGAAATCATCAGATGATGGGAATTAAAAGATTGTGGCACAAGGAATCTTAATGATGAAGCAGCAGCAGAAGAAGTAGTAGTAATAATAGGAGTCTTGAAGTTAGTGTGTTTTGGTTTAGTTGCTTGTTGAAGAAGCAAAGAACTCTTTGTTTACTTTCTTTAGTTTTGTTATTCTCTCTATGTTTGTTCCCTAAAAAGTGAACCTCTTTCGTGGTAATGTACCATGTAAATCTGCTGGCTCCAAGTTGTGTCTTAATCTTAGTATGTTTCTCTGAGTCAAACTCTTTTGCTTTAACCACGACCGAGTGTTGGAGATCATTGATGTTACCTAATTGGATTCTAAATCGTTATGTAGCTATATATATTATGGTTTTTTTTTGTTTTCTGGCTGTTATACATAATTTTATTTTCTAATTGATAACGTCTATATTATGGTGCAATCGAGACATGAGATCGATAATTACCATTAGGAAGTGTAGTTAAAATATAATTGAACACAAACGGTCCAGTCCAGAACTCATATGACCTGCCTTAGTGGTCCTCGCAAGGTCCCATACTGCTGAAGACCGGACCATAGCCACCCCCGAAGCTGCACTCAAACCAACGACCATATTCGGGTCCATTTAAGAAAACTACCCATCCGACCAATCAAGCGTATGTGCCATCACGTTCTCAAAGTCTCGTGAAGAGAGAGCGTTTCAAACCTTCGGACCAAGGCAGAGGGTTCCTAAGGTTTGAAACGCAATGTACATTCCTTAATTGAATATGTGCATATCTGGCCGGCTGGCCGCAGTTCTTTCATCGGCTAGATCAAACCAAAGAGAGCTATTATTTCAAAAGGAAGACACACAAGACTTGCGATTTTCAGCTCATGCCTATCTCTTATTGTTCAAACTTTCTTTTTATCCTTGCTTATCTTTCATTTAGACAACGGCCATATAATCTCCCTTTTCAATTGTCTCAAAGTTTAGTTTCCTTTTTTTTTTATGTCTTATGAACATTTCACATGGCATTAGAAATAACTTCCTAAAGTAGTTTATTATAAATCGTTTAATCTCGATTACGCTTATTTGTAAAATTATCTCATGATGAAAACATAATTTCTTTTAGGTGATATAAGCGATCAAATTAGTTATTTTATTTATCTCCACATACACCGCTATTTTTAAGAAACCAGAGTTGATGTGTATCAAACAGTTACCTCCAACAATATGAACCCATATCACTTCACATTCGTCTAAATTAAATTGTGATATCACTTCTAAAGTTCTGACCGCCATCTCCATGGTCTACACCCATTTTCGATCAGTGAATTCGTTTAACGGTCGGTACACTATTCCAGAAAAGTTGAAAGATTTGTCGTCTTTGCTCTAAAGACTACTATATGATCTTTATCTATATAAATGTTTTTTACTCTAATGGAACTGAAAATCACTTTAAAGTAGATCACATATCCCTAAATCGTTATACATCAAACACGATTAACTATGGAGTTATCTTAATATTTGATACGGAAAGATAAGTGAACCTTGATAATATAAGTACCATCATCATTTTTCAAAAAAAAACAAAAATATTACATGTAGACTAAAATGTCAACCAGATTAAATCAATTATGTAACTACACGTCTATATGATGGATTAAACCAGACTTAAAAATATATCTCTATGTCAACCAAAACTAGATTAGAAGCTTGAGGCTTCAACCTAGAAGGTAACCAGAGACCTACAAAAGTAGACTTGTACTCCCAATTTACTGATAAACTCTACAAAACTAGATGTTAATTAGCATAAAAAAATAGAATTTAAGCTTGTAATCCAATAACATAAAAAAGGCTGTCTAATTAGTGCTGAAAATTCGAACAGGTCGTCACGAAGATGCATTTATATATACTTTATAAAAAATTATGCACTATTTATACAATATTTCTTTTATATGTTGGCAGAAGAAAAACTCCATATAGTGAGTTCCTTTTCCAAATACATATCAAAAGATTATATATAAAATTATTATTATTATTATTATTTTTTTTTTTGGAATGAATGTAAAATTTATTCACAAAAAAAAACCGTGTTTACATCAAGTGCGACTTTGCTGAAAGTAGAGTAGATAATTTAAAGTTCTTGAACTTCTAAAATACACTTAAGATCGAGTTGAAAACCATGAGATAAGAAGATCTTCATATCTTCGATTGCCCGAGTTTCGAAGAAGAAAAATCCGGTTGCGGATGGTCTTATCAATGAGTTTCTCCAGGTGGGTGGCTGTTCTTGGACTTTCTCCATGTCTTCGATTATTTCTTTCTCTCCATAATGAATAAACTGTTGTTTGAAGTGCATACCTTAGGAGTAGCAGGCAATGTCGTTCTAAGCTTGCGTTGGAGATGAGAGAGGTGAGTTGGTTCCAGTCCGAGGTGTATTGATCTCTCAGTAATCCCTTTGATAGTTTTTCCCATATTTGATTCGAGTAAGGGCATGGAAAGAAGATATGATTCCTCGTTTCCAGAGTTGCTTGACAGAACATACAAGAGAAGTCAATTCCTCGATTCCACTTCATCATAAAATTATTATTCAGTTCAACATCCCATATGAAACATTACAAATGCTATAATTTGATAGCAAATTTGAAAAAAAAAACTGATAACAAAGTGATCACAAATTAAATTATCATTCTTCAAAGACTTCGGCGATCATTGAAATGAAAGCACTAAACTTGCCTCCTCCCTCTTCTTCATCCCCACCATCACCTCCTTCTTCTTCTTCCTCCTCCGATGAAGACTCCTCTTCTTCTTCTCCCTCCTCTTCTCCTCCTCCTCCTCCTCCTCCTCCTCCTTCTTCCTCTTTACCACCGCTTCCATGTTGGCGCGGATGCTTAATCTTCTTAAGAGTGGCTCCAAGACCAACCATTGCTGCAGCTATCTTCTCTCTCTTTGATCCTTTCTTTTTCTCTTCATCTTTCTCATCTTTTGAGTGATGGTGGAGGTGGAATAATCCTCTATGCTTATGGGATTTTTCCTTCTCTTTTTCCGGCGATGAATCTTGTGTTCCGATGCCTCGTTCTATGTAAGTAGCCTCCATGGTTTCATGTAACTGTTTCTCCATCTTCTTTCTCTTTCTTTTTTTTTGATGTTTTTAGTTCTTTCTCCCAAATCGTGAATTGAGCTCTTTTGTGTTTTTATGCATACTTATATAAACATTTAACACGGTCCATGAACCACCACTTGCAACATTTCCTATTGCTCAACTATATTAGGGCCCCATTATATGATTACATTAATGTGTGCTCTCAATTATTATACTCCCTAATTTTGGCACCAAGACTTTGACTTCATCCAACCTTGACCGAGTAAAATGGATTTACAACATTAACTAGTGCTACTTAGTTTTAAAAATGAATTGATTTAGCTAGTGTTTTAACTTTTAAGTACAAATGGTTTTTAAATTTTTTTTTTTAAATTTTTTTCCTGTCAAACATTCTAACAACTCAAGGCGGCAATACAAATTCAAAGGTTCCAAGCAAATTTTTATTATTTTTTATTGAGACCTTCAATTAACAATTTTTGAAGAATGGAACATTATAAATAGAAAATATGCAATGAAAGAGTCAAATCTGCAGGAATGATTTAAATTGACTCAACTAACGAGATTTTCTATCAGTTAAAAAAAAAGCTAACCTGATTTTCTAACAAAAATGGACTTCCAAAAACTCGGTCATTGTCGTATTTGAAATTTTCAAACTCAACCTTATTCTGGTTGGGATTAAGAACCGGCTCTACCTTTCACATTGTTCCAAACCCAGGGCTTAATTTCACGACGAGTAAAAGACCACAACGACAAGTTAGGTAAACACAAAACACGTCTAGAATTAATTGAACATTTATTTGCTTACATATACATTATACACCAAAACAGGAAATTAAGAAACGAAACTACTACATTAGTCAATTGACAAGTTTTTAGAATTTTTTTAATAACCTATATTAAAGGGGGTGGACCATGGGTCGCGATTTTAGGCTCCACAACAGGTGACAGTCGAGACGTAAGCTAAGTATCACAATATGGTAAATGTGAACTGTTTTGGTTGAATCAATTTTTTTGTTTTTTGTTAATCTATGCATACCAGTTCTAGATCACACAACTGTTATGTGACAACAAATGTGCATACATTTCTTCAAATCTTGCCTAAAATCTTCTTCTTTGTTCCGCCTTTAAATTGACTTGATCAATATATATCTGTACATCTTATCAAACATATTGGCATGATCAATCAATTATACATGAAGACTAACATATCAACAGTTTGATTCAATTACCACAAGAAAAGACAAGCTGTCATATGTTTTTTTTAATGACTAGGAGATTCTGGTACGTACATCCCCCTCTCATATCATATAATTTAACTCTTCTTTAGACACCAGAACCTTTCTAACGTGAATCTAGCCCGTGACTTTCCTACAGTTTCGGTAACTAAGAGGTTTAACCACTAGGTTAACTCATCGTTGGTGATATGTTTTATCTTATAACAAATACATTCTAGCTACTATTAAAGATCATGAAACTTTTCACCATTTTGTAATTTAATATCTTCTTATAAGCAGGGGCGAATCTAGTTAATAATTAAGGCTTAAGGGGGTCATATGACAAGTTGACAACTATGAAAATTGAAAATTTGGTGTATTTTTGTTAAAAACTCGATATTAACTTCAGCTCCACATGAACATATTGACCCCTATAAAATCAATTTCTTATGTGTTGACCCTTATATATAAATCGATTTCCTAGCTCCGCCACTGCTTATAACTAATTGATTATCAACCCATCATATATACATGTAGACTAATATGTCAACCATGTAGAATCAACTATATATATAGGTATATTTTTGTGCCAGCCTCATGATTATATTAGAAACTTCAAACTTCGAACCATATCAGGACTATAAGATGTATTTCTTCTCTTCACACAAGTAAAGATAGGACTTTATAAACTACTTTTACAACTACTCGAAATACATAACAAATATCACATATAAAACTATATACCATTTTATAAATCATTAAATAAAAATCTCATTTCAAAGTTTGCTAAGAAGGGAAACATTACAAATACCAAATTTGATAACAAGTTTGAATAAACAAAATACAACAAATTGATAACAAATTACAATTTCTATTCTTCAAATGCTTCCGCTATCATCGAAATGAAAGCACTAAACTTGCCTCCCTCTTCTTCATCTCCACCATCATCTTCCTCCTCCTCCTCTTCTTCTTCTTCTTCCTCTGCTGCTCCTTCTTGTTCCTCTTTTCCACCGCTTCCATGGTGGCGCGGATGCTTAACTTTCTTGAGTGTGGCTCCAAGACCAACCATTGCTGCAGCTATCTTCTCTCTCTTTGAACCTTCTTTCTTTTTTTCTTCTTCTTTCTCATCTTTTGAGTGATGGTGGAGGTGAAATAGTCCTCTATGCTTATGGGATTTTTCCTTCTCCTTTTCCGGCGACAAGTCTAGTGTTCCGATGCCTCGTTCGACTTGAGCAGCTTCCATGTTTTGATATAATTGTTTCTCCATCCTCTTTCTCTTTTTGTCCTATGTTTTTTTTTTTCTTTCCTAAGATCGTGTTTTGACCTTCTTTGTGTTTAATAAGCAAACTTTATATACACGATCCATGATCAACCACTTGCATCTTATAGTGTGCATATATAATATTATATAATATGCTCTCAATCATTCTACTCGCTAATTTTGGCACCTAGAGTTTGACTTCTTCCAACCTTGACCGAGCAAAATAGATTATACAATATATATACTAATGCTTTTTGTTTCAAAGATGAATCGAATTAGTGTTTTAAGTAAATTAAACAAATGGTGTTTAGTTTATTCATTTCTTGCAAATATTCTTTAACACAGAGGCGGATATGAATTTAAAGGCTCTAAAGGTTTTTTTTTTTTTAGACCTTAATATAATTTTAGTCAAATTGAGGAAAACAAAATATGAAAACATGCTCAAAAAGAGTCAAATCTCTGGCTTTAGCTTAGTGCTAAGATATTGACTTAGCTAGACTCAACTAACTAGATTTTCTTACAAGAAATGGTCAAAAAAATATCTATCTCTCATTTTGGTTAGCCTCCAAGCCGATATTATTACCTTTCACATTGTTCCAATCCCGGAGACTCAATTTCACAACGAGTAACACCACAATAAAATTTATCTATGCTCAAACACACAATAACACAAATAGAAGTAATAAACTTATTTGCATTTTAAGTAGTAAATTGTACAACTTTAAGAATTATAGTTGATAACTTGATACACGAATTAAAATTTTATATTTTCAGATTTCTTAAAAAATATTAAACCACTAGAAGAAAATTACATTCCATAATATTATTGATTTACTTGAAAATAGTCGGACATATATAAAAGGTAAAAAATGAGACTTATGAGACTTGGTCAAGCGAGCATAATCATTGAATATAATTAACTTTAAATATAATAATGACCTTCATCCACTTGGTTGTCATGAATCATAACTAATCCTTTTTCGTGGGTTGATGATTGTCATTAGTCACATTGTCCTTCGAGTTTAAGGTTAAAACAATACAAAGACGTCTAATATATTTTTCGTGATAAAATATGTATCATAACTAAAGGTTAACATATTATTTATTAGAAATATTGCAAGATAAATTCAATAAACCTGATAAAATGGGAAATAAAAAAAATTATTGTAGAAGGCCAATATATATATATATAAATAAATAAATAAATAAATAAATATCTATATATATATATATATATATAGATAATTTCAACACCGAATTCTCTTATTGATCCAATTATTTACAAATTTCATAAGCTACCTCATGGAGATTATTAGGATAAAAGCAGGGTATGGATGTTAGATAAAAACACAAAACCAATAGCAAAATGCGAGTCCAAAATTGTTTGTTGTCATTGCTATGTTATACTGACGTGTTAAAATTATCGTCATTGCATAATCAACTTAACATTATATATATTAATATATATTAACTTAGCATATATATATATATATATCTCAAAATTAGAAATAATGTATATGAACTAATTTACTTAACATCTTCTCATTATATCTTATTACTATAATCAAAAAGACTAGGATATTACCCGCGGTACACCGCGGATTAATTATTTAATTTTTTTTTAATTTTTTTAATAAACTGATGAATTTGTTGTGTATAATATTTCTTTTGTACACCGTGGGTCACATGCGTTTTATCTAAATAATTAAAATTTTAAGTTGTATTTGTTTGGTTTAGTGTTTAAGATTGTTTAATTGTATTTTGATTTGTTAATTCTAAGATTTCACCCTTGGTATATTGTCCCGTATTAATATCGACCCAAACCCGTCCTACCATATAATCCCGTCCTGTGAAATTAAACATTATTTTGTTATTTTTTTAATAACACGTTTATTTAAAAGACATATAGTTTGAGTCAATTTAAAAGTTTGCTTTCAAATGGTTTCTATAATGTATAATGTTTTTAATTAGTGTGTGTTTTTTGACCAACCCGTAAAAATAATTATAATTGTATCTTAAAATACTAAATAATTTTATTTTGATTTGTTAAGTTTAGGATTTCACCCGTGGTATACTGTCCCGTTTTAGATAATTGTAGAAATTAAGAAAATATCCGAATGACTCAATTTCGGGTCAGAATAAAAAAAAGATCTGATTAAACGCGCAATTTGTTCTTCAAAAATGTTATTATAGATTATACACATACTTTTTTTTTCATCGATTGAGTAATATATGTCCGTTTTAAAAATTTGAATCATAACATATGCAGAAAAAAACTAAAATATATTAACTATATATATTTTATAATAATTTAAAATAATATAAATATAAGATCAAATAAAAGTGAAATGAGAATCATATATTTATGTTTAAATTAGGTAGAGAAGTTTTAGAAATTAGCTCAAATTTATTATATTAGCATTAAATCATCATATTTGATTTCTTTATCTATAAAAATCGTAAAAAATATACCATAACTAAAGAGTTTAGATATAGTAGTTAGTTGAAAAAATATATATATATATATATATATATATATATATATATATATATATATATTAGATTAGATTTTATCAATTAATTTTGTTTTTAAAATTTACCAGAATTTAAGGGAAGATCCGATTGAAGATTTCCGGGTCAAAATGGAAACAAAAATCCGACCCGATTAGGATCCCTTAAAACTGCTCCAAAAATGTATAATAGACTAGATATTAACCCGCGGTAAACATATGCATGAGATTAAGAGGAGAACCACTGTTGAAGCATAGCAGAGGCATGAGTTGGATTTTTTTTCCCGAAGACTTGCAACACAATTTGGAATCAAGAGATCAATTTCTTTGATAATTGCGTTGCGTCCACCGACATGGATCTGTTTCGATGGAGGCGGTGATTGCGTTCAGTCCAGATCAAAAAGATGGAGGATTACCAAGCAATGAGCAAGAGATTCCAAGCCGATATGGATCTGTTTCGATGGAGGCGGTGATTGCGTTAAGAACTTGGGTTAGGAATTCTACCCGAGAACCAAACCTCATGGTACCAGGTAACAATTGGCTTATGTTCTCTAATTAAATTGTAGATTTCTCGAGTACCATACATGTCTCTTTTCTGGTTATTTGGCCACCAATCATAGTTGTCCCGATTTTCTGTGATTTGAAGAGTAGAGAGGAAAGATTGAACCATGACTTGTGATATAAAGAATAAAAGAAAGCTACGAATTAGAAAAACCATCTTTGCAAAAACCATAGTCTTAAAACAATAATAAGGCATCAAAATAAAAGAAAATGGATGAATGCAACTGAAAACCAAATAACAAATCCAAACCATAGTAGCAATTCACTCTTTCTACTGAATCTTGACTTTAAGAATAAGAATCTTATTTGAGTCGATATTTTCCTTTTTGATGTTCACTTTTTCTTTGTTATCATCATCGTTGATATTTGGATTTTCAAATGTAAGAGTAGCAGCCTTCAAACTATTTTCTTCATTAGTTTTTTCCAAGTAACTTCTTGGTGGTGGAACTCAGGAGATTCACCAATATTAGATGCATAGACACAGTTAGATGAAGAAGTAGTTGATTCGGTTGTCGTTTGATTATTAGTCAACATTAGTGAAACCTAAAAAAGACAAAAAAAAAACAAAATCAAAATCATTATTAGATTATTGAGTTAAGAACAATATAATAGATACAAATTGTAGTAGGACTTGGTCAACAAAGACAATAGAACTGGATTGATTATATTTCCAGAATATTCATGAACTTCTTCTTCCATAATAGATCATTGGACAATACTAAAATATTTAGAACAAAATAAAACACTCTTGAAACAATAATGATTGAACAACCATCATGTATGCAGGATCTTCGATTGAAACACCCATGCGAAATTGTACGGTAAAACATCTCTAGAGGTATGCAAAAGAAATATCTTGCTAAATAAGAATTCAGAGGGATCGTTTAGAATGAGGAAAATTGTGGTTGTGAAAATGTAGGCAATATTTTGATATTCGAATATCTTGAGAATATGCTTGTTGTTAGTTTACAAATCTAAACAAAAGCAAAACGTAATTGTTAATGTGGTTTCCTTTTTTTTAGGGAAATCTTGCTAAAAGATATATTAACAACGATTAATGGAAGTAATTAGTTTAGATGGCAGAAATAAAATCCCGGATTTATTATAGATGCAAGGAATATGCCATAGATTAAGAATTTGATAGTACTAATTAGTTGAGTCAGAAGTTATTAGTTGAGATCAAAAATATATTTTTTAGATTATATGAATTATAGATAAGGAAATACCAATAATCTTGGATATATATTATATAGAGTTATTAGTTTAGATTGTGCAAATATTCGTAATCAATTAGATATTATAAGGATTGGAGCCGATTAATGTGGCAAATAATTTAGGGAATATCATTAAACCGAATTGTTAGAGTAATTATAGTCAAAATATTTGTTTTTTTTTTATTACAACATTCCTAAAATTCCTTATCCAAGATCCGGATAGAGTTAAACCCGGGTAAAACCCGGATTCAAATGAATTAATGCAAAAAAAACCTTGTAAAAATGTATATGTAGATACAAACGAAGCGTGAAAATATATCTGACTAGTTTTATTTCTTCTTTGCCCGCCCAAAATGCTACTTTTTATTTGACATAAAAAAAATAATTTAGGGCACGATTAGCATGAGAATGTAATTGAGAATAAAGGGCCATTTAGGTGAGTGACATGAGGGGTTGGGGAATTTTGTATTTTTTAGTGTTTTTGTATTTTTTAAAATTTTGTTTTCTTATCAGTTACCCCATCATATTTGAATGGAGCATATCTTTTTTTTTTTGAAGATTCGAAATTTCAAATCTACCTTAAAAAGTATACATTTTTTTCTGAATGAAACATATTGAATTTTATAAATCGGATGGGAAAGTTTTATAATAGTGAATAGTGTTTGTAGGTAAATACAAGGTGTACTATATAGAATCTATATTAAATACTCCCTCCGTCTCACGTAGATGAATTTTTTTAGAAATTTCACATTTTAAAGAAATAATATATGTATAATGACAAT